CGCTCGACGAGCATCCCCACCACCACACGTTCACCTCCTGGCCGTGTCTCCAGACTCCCACTCCCATCGACGCTCCCGCCGCGCGCCACGCCTCGACTCTCGTTGGACCATTCGTCTTGCTGTCACCAACGCATCACGACTCCTCTTCACCTCACAGCATCCTCCACGCGCTACGCCTGCTCTGCTCCTGCACGCTCTCTAAACGACCACCCCTCCTCCCGCGGGATCCCATCACCACACGCCCCGGCGCACCCCTCCCTCCGCCCCTCTCATCGTCCTGCCTACCAACCAAGCACGACGCACTGCCAGACTGTCGTCTGCCTGCTGCTGCTCCTGCTGCTCTCCCGCCCGTGTCCAGACGCTTGCCCGGCGAATAGCACCGCCTTGTCATTTCCCACCCGTTCACCCCCCCAGCAACCCCAGACCAGACTTCCGGGAGCACATCAGCTTTCTCGACTGCCTTGCCGCCGCCGTCAGAGCTTAACCTCGCCCTGCACCTCTCTCATCCCTACCCGCTCACCACTTACACTACAACCACCCAAGCGCCCTCTCATCTCTCCGAGATAATATAACGTCCTTCCACCCTCACAACTGCCGACCTTTCCTCTCTTTTCCTCTCCCACAGGCGACTTGTCTCTGCAGCTTGTAGGCAGCTTGACTTCCTCCCTCACCAAGTCAGTCATTCACTTGACTGGACATCCTCCCCCGCCCTTCACTCGCTACCACCTCGCCCTCAAGTCATCATGCCTGGCAACAAACCCAAGTTGGCCCAGCTGGCTACGCCTGTCACCAGCACCTTCCCCTCCGAGACCATCTTCTCGGCCTCGACTCCTCTCTCCGCCAGGCCCATGTCTTGCAAAGAGCTCCCCATCAAGACGCCTATTAGCCCGCCCACCGCCTACACGGACTTCCTCAAGGTCATGTCTCTCAACTCGCCCGCCGCCTTCAAGCCGTCAACCTCGGGCGAGACCACACCCGAATCCACTGCCGAGTCTGCCCCGTCGACCGCCACCAGCGAGGAGACGGATGTCTCGTGCAAGTGCGAGAACGAGCACAAGAGCCCGGCCACGGCTCCCGCCATCCCTCCTAGCCCCTTCACCCAACTGCCAATGTCAGCGCCTGCTACCGGCGCAAACTGCTTCCCGAGCCTCAAGATCCCGCCCTCGCCAGCAGTATCCTATCTGGACTCCCCCATCAGCGCCAGCACTGTGCGCTCCCCTTTCAGTGCCAGATCCGTCCACTCTGTATTCGACTGGGACGCAGCCCTCAAGGCCAAGACGTTAAACGATGCCAAGAAGCCTTCGAGGACGAGCGTGAAGCACATCCGCGAGGTTGTCACGCGGACAGTGACGTACACGCCGAGGATGAACCCAGCGCCAAAGGGCAAGAGGAGGAAGGTGGAATGATTTCTCGGGCCACAGGCCAACAACCTCGTCACCATCACGTCCCTGCCGTTTCCTTTGTTTAATACAACTCTCAACACTACCATTCTTCAACCCACGACAGGCTCAGCGCTACGACACACCCATAAAAAAAAAGGAAATGCGATGAAGCAGGCTCTTCCCACGCAGGGACTCAAACCACACGGCATGACTTTACGGAACCACACCGGCGCACACCATTAGCGCATACCAAACGAAAGGAAGGGCGGAATCTATCCATGACTTGGGCGGAAACATCTTGTGCGACAAGGAGGAAAGCGATTTTTATTTCCCCATCATTTTTTTTTTCCATGTTTCTAACCAAATCTACACTGGGACAAACCGGAGTTCTTTGGCGTCATCCACACGATGCTCATGTTCGATACCAGGAACCATAGGAGGCGGGGTGGAAAGGGCTGGAATATGCCCTTGTCTTTGTATTTTGGTAGGCGGGAGGGGCGAAGAGAGGCAGATGGGCGGGCGGAGGAGGCTCAATCGAGAGTTGGAGACTTTTGTCCAAGTACGCAGCACGCTCCAGGTAGCCCTAATCAGCATACTGTGTATATCCATCACGTTTCCTGACCGCCGCGTGCGCGTTGATTGTTTACCGTTCCACGGCCAGCTTGTTCGTGCAGCGCGGCCGTGGATGCGGCCCTGCGTTGCCCCCGTGTTGTTGTGGGGCTGGGACCCCCGGCCGCGATGGTGACCCGGCCCAGAGGCGGTGGACATGGCGATGGGCAGATTTTCAGGATACCAGAGGCATGCTCCAAAAATAATCACAAGTGTGGTTGTTGTTGGTTGCTGGCACACATGGAGTTGATCTCAAGTGACCTGGCAGGAAGAAGCTATGACCACCAACAGCAGCACCAGCTCGGGCAAACTTGAAGGACCAACACGGGCAATGGGAAGCAAACAATGGAGGACGAACAGGTTGGTAGTCGGGAGGAGCAGGCTTTGGTGAATGCGTTGGCACCAACAGACAATATTGTGAGAGAGAGGTGGCTTGGAACAACGCACAATTGGAATTGTTTGGGCATTGTTAGAGGTTGGAAGGGTCAGAAATCAGAATCGTGTAGGTTTTGGTGTGTGTGTGTGTGTGTGTGTTTGTGTTAGTGGTGATGGAGGGGAGGGGAAGCATCCCGCTGCGCTCCCGCATTTTGATTTTCCACGGGCAGTCTATTGCTCATGTACGATGAATGGGAGGAACATTATTCATTGTGGAATAAGGACACGAGGCAATGGGTAGGTAGATAGCTCGGGTGTGATGGTCGTCGATCTTGGGGAGTAGGATGGGTGATGTTGGTGGGCAGTGATGCTGTTGGAGTTGCTGCGAGGCTTCATCCACCATGAGCTAGCTGTAACCGGAACCTGCTACAACTGCGACTACCTCCTGTAGTTAGTGTAGTGCAGTGCATTTCTGTTCACATTAGGCCGCTGCAAAACACGAACGATGACCGAAAGAGTGTAGCTAGAGGAAGCAGAGTCGTCGGCAAACGCTCATGTTGGGGGCCCTTTCCATCGCATTCGCTGCGCTGATGCGTTGGCTGTGATTGGCTGGGAGCCGGAGCAGCGGCCGATGCGCCCACACCCTTCATCCTCACCCTCTTGCGAATGGGAAGAATGTCTTGCAGCTGTTCGCGGTTGAGATTGAGAGCGCTGAGCCACTCGTTTCTCTCACCACCATCCTCTGCTAAAGCGCCCACACATACGCACATGGAAGCTGGTTGGTGTAAGTGAAGTAAGCAGAGCCGTCCACGACAGAGGGAAAAGTACCGAGCATACGAAACAGTCACAGATCCATACAGTAGGCTTTCTTCGCTATGGACTCAGAGCAAAGCGTGCGCAAAAAGCCTAAAAGCAGCCACGCAAAAGAAAAAAAAAAAAGTCCAGACTCATTCAACCTGCCCTGCCCTGCGCAAAGACCCGGTATCCCGGACACTGCCTTTAAGCGCCGACGTTTTTTCCTCGCTCCTCCAGTTCGGTGGTGCCCGGCGCGCTGATTGGCCACGCAGGGGACAGGGGTGGTCCTCTGTGTTGCGCTCCCGCAGGTAGCGGGCCCGGTGACTGGACGGGGACGCGGGAGGGAACCGGGGGGTGTTTACCGTGCGAGAGGGGCAGGAGGGGACATGATTGGATGGGTGGGGGAAGTGGTTAAGCGCCGGCGTAGTTCGTGTGTTGTACCTTCTGCTTTTTTTCTTTGGTGGGGTTGGTTAGGTTGGAGTTTTTTGCACTTTGGACGCTGGAGAAATTTGGATACTTTGTGCCTTTGGTAGGTTTTGGAGAGTTTGGGGCGGTTTGGGGTTTGGTGGTGATGGGTTTTGCGGTTAGTCCATGGCGAAGAGATCGCAAAGGACATCTTCGAGGCTTACATGCGATAAGGGCAGAAGACATGCAAGCGGGGATCATGCCGGGACGAGTCCAGACGAACATCAGGCTGAGGAGATGTCTGGTTGATCACGACTACCTATCCATCATCTCATCTAGCGGTGTAGAAGACCACAAAACCACCATACAACCCTATTTTCTCATATCAGACGGCCGCTACGAGTGTACCGTACATTAGCATCGCTGTCTAGGACGCACGCACGTCTACCCGGAACCACTACGAATGCGACGGGCTCGCCCTCCCCATGTCTCTCTCGAATTCCCGCTTTCACGCCGGAGCCCAATCCCGTCTACTCTGGCTGGCTGTATGCAGCAAGCGTCGCGAGCGCGGTTCTCGCATATGGGGAGAAATAACAAATAAACAGAATGCAAGTCGACTTGCCAAATGCGCCCATCTCGGCCGTGGTCGTGACACGAGCGAAGCGGTTCCCTCCAGCGCTTCCTCCAACCACATCCGCGCATCTCACCAGTCCCCCGCCCCGCGTGGTTGGTCTCCCCCTCCCCTTGTAAACCCTCACCATAAAATCTCCGACCTAAAACGACGAAGCCGCTCCGTTCGGTGTGTTTCGAATCATACCCCCCTTCGACGGACAGGGCCAGGAACACAATCTGATACCAGATTTAGAAACAACGGTTGCCGCTGAAACCTCGCATCCAAAGGGGAAGTGAGAGAGCTGAAAGCCCTGCTTTTTTCCCTTTCCCCCCTGGACGGCAGGCATGGTGTTTGAAACAGCGGCTGATCAATTTGCTTGGCCGGCACTCTGGCTGGTGATTGGTTGTCTCGGCTGTCTCGAGAGATGTGGTGAAATTGGTTCGGTGACGAGAGACAGCTGAGGTGCAGCGTCACAGGCCGGGATGAAGACGGCCCCACGCGTTTCAGAGTCTTCTTTCGGTCCTTCCACACGCCTTCCATGGGTGTTTAAGGTACTGCGTGTGATGTGATGATCGTCCCGGAGATCAGCGTCTGGCTATTTTTGGGGTGTTCGTGTTCGTTGCCGTGATGCTCGTTGGTAAACATGAAGCTGGCCGAGCAGGTAAAGCAGCGGCTTTGCCGGCGCAATCTGCTCGCAATATCGGCCTCCTATCCTCGAGGCGCCGGATCTCAAAGCAATCTCCGCGTCGTGTGGCACACTACATCCCGAGGTAGCTCTTAACGATGCTGAGATATGTATTTTGAGCTTGTAATTTCACGGCTCAATCCACAATCCGGACCTCCTTAGCCACAGCATTGCAGAGCACGACCTTCACCCCAGCCCCCGTGAGCACGTGAATCCACAGCCGCTGGGTATCACTCAGCCGGTCGTTCGCGCTCTTGACCTCCGCGAACATGACCTCTTTCTCCGGCTCCGTCCGCCAGAGTATCAGATCCGGCAAGCCCCCGCCGCGCTGCCGGTACTCCTGCGCCATGACCTTGCACAGAGCCGCCAGCGCGCTGCCGTCGAAACAGCTCACCAGCTCCACGAGATCCTCGACGTCGTAGTCCCAGTTGAGCCCAATGACACATGTCCGCCTCTCACGCTCCCGGTCGTCGACCTCGCGGATGATGCGCTCTGCTCCGCCGTTTGCAATGTCCACCAGCCGGTGGTTGATCTCGGAGGCGCGAGTCGGATAGAAGGAGTCGGTGTGCAGGTCCAGCGGACACGTCTGGTACGCCGTCTGGAAGACGTTTGGTATATACAAGAACAGAATGTCGTAAAACAGGTACGCGAAGAGGGTGCGGACGATGCCGCCCTCGGCGTGGAAGCCTTTATACCCGTGGCTGCGGTACGAGCTGAGGCACATTTCCTCGACGCTGCACTCGCCGCCTTCTTCCAGCTCGTCAACCCAGATCGTTTTGGTGCTGGCTTGCCGGCCGTTCCTGCCCTGAAGGTCTTCCTTCTTGATTTGTATGCCTTCCACCGTATGCTCGACGGGCTTTTGAAGGCGAACATGGCCAAAGTCGTGTTGGAGTCGGCGGGGTATGCGCAGCTGCTTCTCTAGCTTGATTAGGCGCTTCTGCAAATCGTAGTGGAATATCAAGTGGCAATCATTATCTTGGAGGCCTGCTTCGCAAGTCGCGGCAGCGATACGCTTCCAGTGCTTTTTCTGTATATCCGGGTCCGCTGAGACTGGGTTGCCGTCGAGGGCATGCATGTAGTGCTCCTCCAGAAGAGCCTTCCGCTGGTACCAGCTACCTCGTCTCGCCGGATGAAATAGATGCTGACCTAGAAGCTCAGTAAGAAGAGAGTGCTCGCGTTCATGATCCTTCAGCTTTCCAAACACATAGGCAGCTTTGTGAACGATGCGAGTGTAGGAGTGGACAGGAGTAAACCTTCTCAGGTATGCGCCTTCACCCTCTTCATAGACCCGCGCCTCCTTCTCCTGCTCTTCGCTCAGGAGCATCTTCCAACGCGGATATACACGCTCGAAGATGTCAACAATCTTGCGAAACCCTGCCTCTCCAGGTGGTCCGTTGAATTCCAGAACGGAGTCAACGTCAGCCTCCACGCGGATCGCGGCCTCGAATTCGAGTACGTGCCTACGGGAGGCAAAGATGTTGGTACTTCGGCAGACAATGTACTCGGGATAGTTCCGCCTGGCGATACTGGCGAGGATGATTGCCGTCAAAGACTTCTCTGTCCACTCTGCCGACCGATAGAAAACAAGGTGGACCCTCTCGAAAAGCTTGTAAGTCAGGGGTGAAAGCCTAATGCAAGGGCCAATGATGGCTCTGATCTTCTCCAAAAAGTGCCCCGTCTGGTTCGAGTCCTGCCTGCTGAGGTGTGGCGGGGTGTCCCGTCCATCTCCCATGAGACCTCTGGCGTTTGGTGAATCTCCACTAGCAGACCTCTGAAGCCCATGTGCGAAGAGGCCCGTCTGCTGATAACCGGTGCGGCACAGCGCCTTGATCAGGTCTGCCTTGTTGCGCCCCTGAAATCTGGCCTCCTTTGCCAGGTCTTTGAGCTCGTCCAGACTTAGCAGCGATGCGGCCTCTTCAATGGTGGTGATGTGCTCCTCGGACGCATCCGCAAAAGTGAAGGTGTCGTTGAGACTGAACTCTTCAAGATCGACACCCTCTACCGGGTTACCGTCTGGTGAAACATCGACTTCTGGCAAGTCTCTGACCTCTTGGAGACTCTCGATAGCTGTCTCTGGGTCTGATATATCACTGTAATATCCCAGTCGGTCTTGACGATGCCACGCAGACGTCTTCCGCAGGAACAAACGGACATAGCTGCGCTCACTGTCAGCACCTCCCAAAGATCGTCGAACCAGGCAACACCCACAGATACTGCGCTTCATAGTCCAGCTGCTTCCACTGCTCAAATACATGAGCTTCCTTCGCATCAAACAAGTGCGCCTCGTCCGCCAAGACGGTATCCAACGCAAGGTTAAAGGCGTCCACATAGATGGAGCTCTTGCCTCTCACCCACTTCCTCTCCGCCCCAGCATCCTTTTCTTCCTCGTCAGGCACACTGACCTGAGAGCTCCTCATCAACTCGTACTCCTCAATCGCCTCCTTGTCCACCTGCACCGGCGGCAGCGCACTCTCAATCGCAGTCTGGCGCACGTGGCGATCCTTCTCGTCTTCAGCGTCAGAGACATCGTTGACGGTGATTCCAGAGGTGTCAGCCTCGTCTTCGTCGTCATCATCATCGCTATCCGCAATCTCGACCTTGACCTTCTTTGCGGGGCGTTCACCCAGTGGCGACGGCCGGGTGGGCGACCTCGACGGCGGCTGTGGTCGAGGCCGCGGCAGCCGCTGTACGAACGCATCCATTATGCGGCGCAGACAGGTTCAACATTGTCAGACAGAACAAACCACAAAAGAAGCGTAGGGTTCTTGAGTTGAGTGGCCGAATTATGTCATTCACGACGTGGCGTTCGCGGGGATGAAAGAGGGAGACGCGCTGGGAAACAGGCAGCCGCAGGGGGTAAAGTGCGATTTCCGACGCGACGTCAGGTGACCCCGCGTAAATGACCCCCCGGGCCAGGTACTGTCGATTCTTGCTGCAATCCACTGCATCATAGCCTAGCCTGGGTCCAAGATCTCGATGCTCTCGCCGTAGTCAATTGAAGCGCAAACCTTGGAATCAACTTCGAATTGCGTCAATTGTGTTCACCGTCCCATATTTCAGAGCATCTGCAGCGATCCAAAGCTTGCTCTTGCCTCGGCGCATACCCCAACTTCCCCTCCACAAAGCTCTCCATCTTCCTCGCGCATCTAGAATCGCCAGGACCCGTCGCATTCGCTCAGCAACCCAGCGCAGGTGTCCCGCTTAATCCTCACCCAATCCACCCAGACCAAATAGCCGACAACCTCTCTCATCGTCTCCCGTTGCATCTTCCTTCCTTCCTCCGCAATGTCAAACCCACCACCGACGGAACACACCCCTCAACCACTCGCGCCCGCCGCCCTCGCTGCTCCTCCTGCTCCTCCGTCGACCACAGAACCCACGATGCCTCCCGCAGCCGACCCCAGCGCGAACCCAGACGCCGCCTCCACGGTGGACGCTCCCATGGCCGACGCCCCCGACGTCGCTTCTGTATGACACCCACCACCGCCTGCTCCTTCCCCGCTCACTCACACTAACCACTCTGCAGTCCCCGGCGCCTGTCCCCCAAGCTGCTCCGAGCCCGGCTCCCGCAGCGCCTCCGCGCACCGGAACCCCCAGCCGCAACCTCAACAACGGCGATGCCAGCTCACGTGCAGGCTCCGTCCACCCCGACACTCACTCCCTTAACCTCCCGAACTCGGCCACGCCTCACGGCGACAGCGCCCGAATGTACATCAACTCCACCGTCACGGCGGCGTTGCTCGAGGGAATGAAGAAGATCGGTAGAGACCAGTAAGTTTGCCCTACGCAGACGTTTCGTCCGTCATGGGAATATGGTCCTAGATGCTGACATGTTTCTCGTGCGTTAGACCCGCCAACCCTCTCAAGGTCTTGGGCGAGTTCCTCATCCAAAAGTCCCGCGAGCGCGGCGAGCCTGAGTCGAGTTGAATGCGTTTTCCATATACGTGGGACGAAACACATCATGTGATATTGGGCACATAAATACGGGGGACTTTGCTCGCATGGGAGGCAGAGCACACCCCCAACGATTGACCACCAGCATATCAGTCAGTGGCTTTTAAGGTCTAGCCAGGCGTTCAGGGGGCACAAAAGAAGTTTTTCTAAGGGTCGAACCATTGAGGCTTGATGCCGCTTTAGATTCATGGACAGCACTTTAATGATACCACAAGTTCTCATCATAAAACTTTTGATTTAAATCATCATGGCAGGCCCAGGCATATCATTGAAAACACGTTCGACGCTGATCAACCGTCTCATGTTTGCTTTGTGTCTACTCTTTCTCAAGTTGACAGTACAGTTGTGGAGGTTGGGGGGTGTAAAACTTTTCTGTTTTTCATTCATCCTCGGCTGACGCCATGTAAACCGACGTGCCTAAGTCCAGAGAGCTGTTTGTGCATCGGAGCTCTAAATGCAATTACCCCCCAACTCCATGACCAGATTCCACCCCCAAACATTGCACACGCACACGTACATCCGCGGCGGCGCTTCTTTGGTTCATTGTCTCATGTTCGCATCATACGAACAGGAGGAACACGACCTTCCAATCCATTTTTGTTTTCCCCCTCAAACACGCAAGACGACGACTGATGTCAGACGACGGTCTACGCTTAGGCGACAATGGTGGAGGCGGTGGCGGACTCGTATCTCCAGGTGGGAGGGAGGACACCGACGGTCTTGTAGTAGCGGGCGAGACGGTGGATACGGGACTCGATGAGAATCAGGCGGAACTTGGAGTCCTTGTCCTTGCGGTTGCGCTCGAGGTGCTTGCGGACGGCAACGGCCTGTGGTTCGCGAGACAAGTTAATCAACCCGTTTCCTCCAGACATTCCACAGCAAGTTCTTCCCAAGCCTTTCAGCCATAGGTTGGACGTGGGGAGCAACGTACCTTCTTGATGAGCATGTACAGGTCCTCAGGAATATCGGGGGCAAGGCCTGTTCATCATCTCTCTGTCAGCCTAGACCATACAGAGGCGCATATATATGCGGTAAAAGAGACGAAGACGGGAATTCACGGAGTGTGTGTGCTCCATTCCACGTCTCGCTCGCGGACGAATTCATGTCGTGCATGTTTTCAGGAAAACATGTTCGCATCGCCGCTTTGGGTTGTTCACTCGTATGGGGTCGTACCGTTGGACTTGAGGATACGCAGAATGCGGTTACCTGAGATTTCAACGTCAGCAAAGTTTTCCCCGGTCTCTTCGAAGGGGACCAAAAACATACCGGTGACGACGCGGACCTGGGCAACGCCGTGGGAGTCACGGAGAATGACACCGATCTGGGAGGGGGTGGCACCCTTCTTGGCCAGCTTGCAGATCTGGTCGACGACCTGCTCGGGGGTGGTCTTGAGCCACGAGGGGGGGTTGCGCGAGTAGGGAATCGCGGAGGAGGAGATACCCTTTCCCTTGGAGTGAAGACGGCCCATCTTGACGGTTTGGTGAGGTGGTTGTTTGGCGGCTGGTTGAGGGGTCAGTCGGTCGGTCGGTCGCTGGTCGGATTTGAGCAAAGGGGAAAAAAGTTCGCGATCCAGATCTTGGAGGTTGAGCGCTGCCGTACGGGGCGGGTGGTGGATGGTGGATTGTGCGGCCGGGAAATCGTCGCTTAATTAGGGCAGCTGTTCCTTCCGCCGGTCAGGTCGCTCCTGCCCGCCAGCTGGTGCAGTGTCTGCTCGGCCTGGGAAAATTTTCGGCTGAAGGACCCGCCAGCGTGGGGTCCGCGGTGGATACGTGCAGATTCAATGTGGCCCGTGCTCCGGTTTGCTTACCTCAAGCTCTGTGAGCTTGAGATTTTTCTTTCCGCCTCTTCAACTTCATCTCTTGTATGAACCAACAGCATCTGCAGCACGCTGCAGTCCGCGACGTTGTATTGCTATCAGCTTCTCCAGGTAAGAATTTTCCTCTGTCACTTCAACACCATTCACCCTCTCCATGAAATGATGATCCACACCTTTATTTTACTTTTTCTGGTACCTCTTATTTTAAAGCCTTCGGGCTTGATGAATGAACTGGACTTCTGAATCTTCACCCCAACCTCGCCATGTTTGAAAACCTTTGCCCTAGACTTCAAGCTAACATGGTTATAAAGACAGTCACTTCCGTCGGCATTCTCGGTTCGATTGCAGACGCGTCAAGTGGCGCGTCCCAGTCGGGTAATGCGGCAGTATGCATGGATGGATTGTTTTAAGGACAGCAGATAGCAAATTTACCATGGTTCAAATCATTCTCCCTAACTCCTCTTGTTGATACGCGTTGTGTGCACGCTTTCCGGTGACGTCCTCTGGCCACATCGACTCGCATAGCTTGAAGGCGTCTGAGTGTCCCTTGAACGGGGCACTCGCCAATTTGAGACTTCCCGTGGACGGTTTTCCCCCGGCATTACTTGGAAAAGCCTACTTGCTACTTTTGCAACTTATTGAATGCCCCATGCCTTGCTCGACCGTGCGACCGCGTGCCGCGAAAATATGATACAGCAGTTTGGTTGGTTACAAGGCAGTCGAAAAATGAACAGCCCGAAATTTTCTTCCGTCCGGATGTGCCATCCCCAGTATTGACTCCTCCTACCTCCATATTGTCCAACATGACGGCAATTACCAAGCACCGACCTCAAAGTTTTCCTAGAGAAGTTCACTGTTAGCCATGCTCGTGATTCATTGCGGTGAAGGGCAGTTTACCTCGGGGAAGTAGGTCGTGACAACAGTTCGATCCGCAAACTTGCGTCCTGCAAGCGCCTGCAAGGCCTTCTTGGCCACCTCTTTCGATTCGAACCTGACGAAAATCTTGCCAACGCCAGCAGATTGTCTGCTGCCTCCCACGGGTCTGGGAATCTTGACGTCAAGGACCTTACCAAACTTGGTGCATTCCTCTTCGACATCTTCCTTGATTTCTATGCAAAGTTAGTGCTTGTAAAATCAATTGCGATAGTGCTTCTTACCCTCGTAGTCATCATTGTCCATCAGCTCTTCCGGAGTGACCATGTTGAGCAGCTGCAGGACACGTGTTTCCTCAGAGTCTGTTGAAGTTGTCCCAGCAAGCATGGACATGGCCGCCACGCCCATCTCGACTCCCGCAACCTGAGTGACTCCAACGCTCGCCTTCTGGACCCTCAGCTTCTTGTCTCCAAGATCCATGCCATTAAGTCCTTGGATCGCCACGTCCGTCGCAGAGGGCTCGACGTATTCGCAGAAAGCAATACCGCGGGACTCTTCCGTACTCTTGTCTCTGACGAGAACAAACGCCTTTAGCTCGCCAAAGCTAACCAACAGCTCTGTAACCTGCTCGTCCGAAAGGTAAGGAGGCATGTTCGCGATGCTGATCTTGTTAGGCGTATCGATCACAATGTTTGAAACGACACCCGGCTCGTACGGCACGTCGTCGACGACAGCCGGAACGATGTAGTCCTTGGGCCGACGAATGACCAGGCCGTTGCTACCAGCGGCGCCATTTGTGGCATCGTCAGCTTCCATCGTAATCCCATCCAAAGCTAATGCCACCGTAGCCTCTGAAGCGTTTCTAAACTCAACGACTGCGAACGAGTGATCCTTGGAAAGCTGGCAACTAGTGCAGGGATCGGTGCTCTCGATCACGTTCAGGCCGTTAAGCTGCAGGTTGAAGAAGCCGACAATGCTGTCCTCCGTCGCAGAAGGGGGGAGGTTGTTGATGAGAAGTCGCTTGGCCTGGCGCGAGTTGCTTGGCTTGAGCGCTGCACTGTTGACCTGACCACCTGGCTGGTTCATGATGGCCTGGAGCTTGCTAGGGTCCATGGGCTGCTGGCGAGGAGCACCGGGAAGTGGGAACATGCCTGACAGCTTGGCTTGTTCAGCAGTGACATTCTCATAACCGGGGGGTTTGATGTCCCACTGAGTCAACCGTCGCTTGCGCTCCAAGACCGACGTGACGTTGGTCAGGTCAGGCGTCGGCTCCCGCTTCTTGGGCGGTGGTGTCGCGCTGCGTTGGCGATCGCCGCGGCGGCCCATACCACCGTCATCGTGTTGCTGTTGTTGCTGTCTGTCGCCTCTTCCGCCTCGGCGTCGGTCGTCATAGGGGTCGCGGTCTCTGCGTCGGTGATCATCGTCGTCTCTTCTGGCATCGCGTCGGGAAGAGCCACGGTCGCGATCCCATTCCCTATCGCCGCGTCTATCGCGTCCAGAGTATCGGTCCTCGCGCTCGCGCTCGCGGTGGCTGCGGCTAGTAGCATAGCTGTCCTCGTCGTCGCGACGTCTAGAGCTTCGGTCGTAGGGCGAACGGGAGCGTCTGCGGTCGCGATGTCTGTCTCTGTCACCACCACGTCGATCATCACGATCTCTCTGCGGTCATGTCATTAGGCAGTGTCAACCAGAAAGGAGATGGTGCAGCTCTTACCGGGTAGTCGCGAGATCCCTTTCCCCGTCCGTCTTCAAAGGAGGCTGATGTTAGGAACACGAGAACAAAGCAGTCGGACGCGTCGGTCGCCAATGGTACTTACCGCGAGAGTAGCCGTCGCCGTTCATGTTTGCGACGTCGCGTAGCGTGACAAGGATGCTATTAGATGATGGACAGTCAAAGCTGGAAGAAGTGATTGACGATGGAGTTGAAGGCTCCCGGATGAGGCGAAGGCGCAGGCGTCTTGTCCACCGGCGCGAGGCTGGAACTTTTTTCCCTGAGAGGTCGAGTTCTGAAACCGGTATCTGATTGGTCGGAAGCTTTGCAGAGAGTGGATCAGTCCGAACCTCTGGGCCCGCCCAAGGTGCTTCCTTCCACGCCAAGCACGCTTTTGGTTAGCTTCGAGTTAGTCATCAAGAAGAGGAAACAACACCACGAATTGTCTCGTGATGGTCTTCTGCTCTGGCTTACTTCTTATCTAAGCCTACGAGGACCCTTAGTGAGAACGTCCTGAAAGACAATAGACTCACTTCCGACACATTGCTTCTTCTGCACAGAGAACCAACAATAACAATCATTCAACCTTTTGCTTGACAACAGCGTGCCTACCGCAGATGGAGAAATGAGCAGGCGGCAAATGCAACAGCACTAATTGCTCCTGGTGGTTTCTACGATCTCTTACTGGAGAAAGCTTCTACTCGAGATTCTACTCGAGAAAACTATGTCTCTAGTGGCCTGGAGACCACCCCTCATTATGCAAAGGAAATAGTCTCGCTCGACTGAGCCGTTTCTCAGAGGCTCCGTGTGAGCAGTTGCGCTCGTTGGGCTCTGGCTTGTTGTTTTCTTCGATTTACGCTTCATTCGTTCTAGTTCGTTTCATACATGGGTAACCAAGTACCTGCCCTCTTTGGAAACATTGAATGCCTCTCCATTATCGGAAGCCCGTCAAGCCACTGCACGATGAGCTTGGTCCGTGCAAAATGCAGCCTCAATCCCGGACCACCAGGGGCAAAGCCGAATCCTTTGGCTCATCGCCTCATGCAACTCACGTTCGCCATGCTTCAAAGGCCGGGTGGCAGGAGAAGTCCGGCGCATACCTGGCGACCCTTCAAGTAAGGACGTATTCAAGACTTACACGTAGATGGCGGCGATTGCGGCCTGAGTCGCTTCCCTTCAGACTTGACGCCTTGGTAGACTTGTTGCGACCTGGTGTATCAAACGTCTCTCGCATCTGCAATTTTTCCACCGATTCAATATCTCTCCTGTCGTCTTCAAGTAGCTTCGATCAGAAGCAGAGGGTGACGGACGAATGCAGTCAGCAATCTCAAACAAAGTTTACGACCGTTCGTTGATGTGGGTTACTGCTCCCCCCAGTGCCGACTTCCGGCACCGCCCAGCTGGGCCCAGCTCAGCTGACCTGGGGACACTGCGCAAGTCCAGACGACTGAGGGAAAGGTTTACTGTTCCAAGGGAGAGGGACTATTCGCTTGTGTAAATATTGTCTCATTCTCAGCCCTGAGGGGTCCCCGCCAAACATTGCCCATTCCTCGGCGCTAGTGCGACACCAGGAAGATTGACAATGCTCTAGCGTCTGTATTGTCCGAACCCTCAGCGGAACGTCAGATCTTTCCCCAATGTTTGCCCTGTTGTCCGCTGTCTCTGGCCGTTGGGGATGGTTCCATGTACTGAACAATGAGGCATCTCTGGGTCGACAATATGATGCAGGTCTCTTCTTGATGTTGACTTCAATCTGAATCATCATGATAAATGTCTTTTTGCTACTATATTGCCTTTCTCGGGCTGCACTGACAACACTCAAGACTGTCCGGTGGGCTAAATCTAGTCAACGACTTCAGGGTCCATCGAGAATCTGAAAGCCGTGTCGCGACCGGACAACAACCACGAACTAGGGATAGCCGCAAGGTCTAACCTCAGGACGGCTATCATCACTTTGAAAGAGCTTCTTCAAGCATTAGCGAGTCGCAGAGCACTGTTCATCAAAACATCCTACCGACAGAAACTTGGCTGCCTTGGAGAAACTTCGATTGTAACCGAGAAAGTAATTCAGCCCTGTTGCGGTTAACTTTCAGATATGCCAAGCTTTCGAAAGATGACAAGCTGAAGGGGCTTGTCGTCCAATCTCTAGATCCTTCAAGTTTCTGCTAAGGACGGGTACATCCTACTCCGCAAACTGTTCTGTTCAGGCATACTGATGAGGTCTACCGATACCGATAACCAGTTTGAACTCTTGCCACCTTTTGCTGTACGGAGCGATTTCTGGCGATTCGACGTCCCATTGCCCGGTCAAAACGAAGTAGTCTAAGAATCAACGGCTGGGATGTGCAAGATACCATTGACTCCAATCGTCAATGTAGCTTCAGAGTAAGTGTACAACCTCGATCAGTCTTTGTCATTGCCAGGATTTCGTCAGCGTAATCTTGGCATCTAGTTCCCTACATCCAGCATGAGACTGGACTCGCGTATGGCCCTCCAAACAAAGACTTCGCCAGAACGCCACTGTCGCCTGTGATGGACATTCCTGCATAGTTCCATGAACTTTCTTTCTACCAGCCGACCTGCCAAGGGGCGATCCAGCTGCATTCTCTCCCCTTGACCCAGCTGCTCCTCTTGCATACGGAGGGGCAACTCCACATGGTCGAAGAGCGTCAGCTGCATGGCATCGCCCAGGCGGTCACAGCCCTCCCGCACTCCATGTCGGGGGTCGGGTCCCAGCCCCCGTCGCTATGCCCGGGACATGCGCCAGCCGCGACATCGCCAGCAGCGAATAAGTATTCCTCCACGCCCGCCCAGTGTTCCTCCAGCGCCTCTCCCGTCCCTTCCAGCTCTTCGCCGGGTTCCGCTCGCAGCAACTCGTTTCGTACGACACCCGCAAAGAAGCAAGTCGATTTGTGTTGTTGCTCACCATGGTATCGTCACATATCTGGGGCATCGCGGCCTTCGCGGTGCTGGCCGGGGCCCAGTCGACGACGTCAACGGACCCAATTACGCCGACGCCATTTTATAGTACGATCACGACGACTCGGACAAGAGCCGCGACAGTGAAAGCCACGGGGGCGGCCGAGACTCACACTGTCGCTGTTGGTGCTGTATGTGCAGCGTATATTACATGATCTCGCGCAGCTCTGGCTAACCTGTGAAAGTCTGGGTACTCATTCTCACCGTCAAAAGTGACAGCCAACGTCGGTGACACGATAGGTTAGTTGTGAGAACTCACTCATGCGGTGAGAAACAGCAACTAACACGCCCCAGAATGGATCTTCTACCCCGATGGACACTCAGTCATCCGCTCGGAGTTCGGTTACCCTTGCACGCCTTATGAATATATCGACATTGGTCGACAGGGCTTCTACAGCGGCCCTGAACCTGTCAAGGCTATCACGAACGATGTGAGTGCCGTCGTCTTGAGTCTCGGTACATCTCTGACAGCCAACCAGATGCCAAGATTCAGAGTCCGCGTCAACGACACCGACCCCATCTTCTTCTACTGCGGCGCCCCAGGCTCATGCTACAAGGAGAAGATGATCGGCGTCATAAACGAGGTATGCCGCGTCCACCTACCTAAACCGCCACGTCTAACATCACGCCTCCCCAGAACTCAACCCAAACCCTCGACAAGCAACTCGAAGCAGCGCTCCCCCTGACAACCCAGATCCTCCCCGGCGAGCCCTTCCCAACCGAGTCCGACGCCTCCCGCAACGACCACCACCACCTCAGCGGCGGCGCCATCGCCGGCATCGTCATCGGCTGCGCCGCCTTCCTCATCTTCGGCGGCCTCCTCGTCTACCTCTGCGGGCGCCGCGGCGGCCTCAAGCGCGCCTACCGGCAGCCCCCGCAGTCAGGCCAGGCAGGAGAGGTAGAGGCCTCGCACCCGCCCGTGACGGAGGTCAACTACAGCGCGCAGCCCAAGAGCCCCGCGACGCAAGGGTGGCGGAACAGCCATTACAGCGAGCTCAGCGGGACGTACCGCGACCAGCCTACGCCCATCGGCGGGTTCCCCGGCGCCAGTCCCCCGATGAGCCCCCAGCCGCACTCCATGCAGGCCTACTAGTAAGTCCGATTCGAATCAAGGGAGAGAGAGGATGGATGTAGGAAGGAAAGATATCTGGTGTTGACAGAAACTGACGGAGTACCACAACAGCGACCCCCGCATTTCGTCAATAGCGCCGAGCATCGCCGTCGAGGCCCCGGACAACCAAGCCGCGGTCCCACCACCGGCCACCGCGCCGGAGGCCGCGCCCGTCGAGCTTCCGGCGTCCGCTGACCCGGGTAACTCCCCGCTCCCCGCGTACAAGCCGCGGTTCTCGTTTGCGGGGCAGGAAGCTGACTATCGGCCAAGTAAGGAACAATCTTAGGGTATAAGGGGGAACGGAGGGCTGTGAGATTTTGGACACTGCCCCTTGGCTCTGTCTAGTTAGAGAGACGAGAAAATAATTGGGCTTAGTAAGAGGCATGGCGTTGGGGAGGGCGGACGTGGGCGAAATGGTTTCTTTGCTCAGGGGTTTCTGGCCGAATGGCGCCGGACTAAGTTGGATCTTGGTGATTTCCATAGTAATGTAAGAAGTAATTACCATTAAAAATGGTTTTAAGCATCTTCAAGAACAAGTAATTCGGCTTCACGAATCTGCTAAGGCTAAAAAATGTTGAGCAAAGTCCATCGCGCCGAACTCTCTGAACAACCACGTCAGCATCAGGACTGTCTACTTAGACGTTGATCAACGTGCATGATCCTTGCGAAGTGCAACTCAACCCCGACGTCTGGAATTTCTGCACAAAAATAATTAAGCAAGTGCACATGTTCGAGAAATTCTTTTCTTCCCTCACAAGCTCAAGACCCGTAGCTTCAACTGATAAATTACAAGCCTTTTCCCTCCCGATCATCTTCTCTTCCTCTGTCGTCAAGAAGCCTTACAGATGTGGAGTGGACGGAGGCGTCGCATCTGCACTGGCCATCGTCGCTGTACATCCAGGGGCTCTCCAAAAAGCAACGAAACACAAAGATGTCGACCACCTCGACGGACTTCGACTTTTTGTTTCCAGGATCGGAACTGCGAACCACACTGAGGTGTTTGCGGCCAGCACCTCGTTGAAGTCACCAGACCCCACTAGTGAGCGGCGGGGGATCCGCCCGCGGTACTTGTACAGCGATATGGTTGGCGGAAGACATGCTCCCATGGTGTAGCTGGTTTGCACATTGCTCTTATACCTCCGTTACCAACGGGAGATATGCAAAGGTCGTGAGTTCAATCCTCACTGGGAGCAATAAATCTTTTTGCGCACTTCGCCACCCTTTTTGCCCCGTGTCACACACTGCGCGTTTCAACGGTTTTTTTTTTGGGCTGGCTCTAGCATCCCAAAAAGAGTGATGAAGAAAGAGTCGCTCGCTTACAGTGGTGCGTGCACAGAATTCGGAGCAACTTTCTTCTGCCACTAAGGTCGCAGGGATCATGATCATCAGTGAGTTGAGACAGGCGAGGAACACATCTAGCGGAGTGAGAGGTATGCAACCATTATGACTGACTTCTGAATAAACGTTAAAACGTTTCTTGACTTCAATCTGGCTCAAGCATCATTTGGGCGATGACTACAAATTCTCCAAAGCTGGTGATTTTCCCCCTCGTGCCTGCAGACGCTGTACTCGACTTGGCCTTTTAGAATCCTCGCTCAAGCTGGGATTCGAGCTCTCTCTGCAAACATCAGCAGTGAGAGGACGTACTCGAACTGACATGACATCAATTGTTTATGGCAGCGGAGGGGCCGTGAAATAGTGTTGCCATGGTTGCAGTCAATAAGAAGCTTACTTGACATATATGGTCGGCTATCCTCGACGATGCCGTGTCGTCCTCATCCATCGAGCACTGCATGCCACCTCTCGTAGTGTTATTACTCGGAAGAACGGCCTGCGCGGCTATTGGCTCCCGGCACTCTGGCGGTTGCGTTACATAGTCAAGTCGTCCTTCTTTCTACATGACTATCTGAGGAAACATCAAGCAACAAGTCACTTTTTCGTATGCCCTTCGATGCTAAGGCGAGCGAAGTGAGGCCGGATAGACCGGAAATTTCAGCCGGGACGGCCCCACATCGGTCACGGCAGCTAAGATGATGCCACGGAGCAGCCCCGTCAATGAATAGTACCGTAACAACCAACAGCAGCCAACCTTAAGGGTCAAGGTTAGAAGTCTTGACGACAGCGGCGGGAGGAGGGCCTTTGGACAACGGTTTACCATGGCAGTGCTCGCTGAGAAAATGACAGTCTGGCTTACGCAGGAGGTTGCATGGAGGACGCAGTCTATTTTTAGCTGACTCGCCGACGATCCGATGCCGAGGTCTCCCACTCAGCCGTTGAAGCCCACGATGCCGTCGGTTCGCTTGTTCACTACAGCCTACTGGAGAGCAATAGTTGATCATGTCCTATAGGCAGCAACGTGTACAGCGATTATTGAGAAGCACCGCCGGTCTTGAGACGGCACCGTCTAGAGGCCAGATAATCGCTGAGGAAGGGTTGGTGCCGCGGCAAGGGACTGCCTGTCACCCTGGTGAGGGGAGCTCTACCTAAGCTTTGAGGTAGGATGACTGAGTCAATTCACTAAGGCGAGCAAGCTTGTCGAGTCGCCCTACCTATGCTCTCTGCGGGACACCATTGGAGGCGGCATATCGCGCAACCACTATGGCACAGCGGATAAATTCACCAACGGAGACCACAGATAGAGAGATTTGAGACCGGCTTGGAGCTTCCGTAAAGAATCAAGCGCGGAGGGACAGCTGCTGGAAGCACAGAAGAGCTGCGCGAGAGAAAACAAAAGGAAGGCGTTCGTGCCGAATCCAGGGACTGAGCGCGCACGAGCCACTCGCCCACCCGAAGCAAGCAAACGGCCATCGCTCAGTGGCTCAAACGCTGAAAGCAGTCCACTGCTAGCGGAGTCGTGCCTTAACCGTAACCCCCGTGGACACCTAGCCCAGTGGTAAGGCACCTTGAGACTTGGAGAGCTTGGGCAGGTGGGCAGCCAGCCCGGTACTTCCCCCCTCGCGGATACACCAGCGGGGGCGGGAAGCTGCGGCAGTTGGGCAGGTACCTCGAGTCTGGGCAGGTACATGCCGGTGACTGTCCAGCGACCTACCCGTTCTGGGTGTTCTGTCTAAAAAGTGGACCTCGGACCTCAAGCATCCATCGCGGGAGGTCGAAAGGACACATTGTACCAGAAGTCATCCACGCTACCATACCTTGCTTGCCTTGCCTTACCTTTGCGTTCAGGACAACTTGCCCTCCTTTCTCCGTTCCCTTCCTTCGACACTTCAAAGTCGTTCTTCGCTTTTCTCTCCGGTCACCACACCAACAGCTCACGGCCTTGTCTCTTTTTACCAACGCCAACGACCAATCCGTCAATTCTGTTTTTCCTTTCGTCGTCGCAAACCTGCCGCCCAACCTAAAGCCGCCGAAACGTCAAGGCTAGCCCTCGGATCCTCAGCTGCGGTTAACCCTCTTTTGTTTTTTTCGGTTTCGACACCAACACCCTCCACCAGACCAACCATCGCCTCTGCCGACGGCTTCTCGACCAGGATAATTAGAGAGCGAAACAGCTGGTCTGTCTGTACCTTTTTGTGCAACAGCCGCGTCCACCAACCCTTGCGACCTTCCCTTCCGATCATTCCCTCATCGCGATGGCTCAGCAAAGAGGCCCGTCCTACGGCTTGGGCGCCGGTGGCCCCCCGTCCTTTGGCGGTTCGAGTATGGACAACGAGGAATCCAGCCCTCTGGACATGATCCGCCAGCAGACGAGCAAGATTGAGGATATGTTGGACACTCTCAGCGAGCCCGTCAAGCCGTGAGTTGGACCCTTGGTCTTGGCAGGGAGCTTGCCGAAAAGCTCGTGACTTTTGGAGCCATGCTGACGAGGGTCTCGCGATAGCTACTTGCCCGCCATCGGCCGCTTTCTGATTGTTGTCACCTTTCTTGAGGATGCCCTCAGAATTATCACCCAGTGGAGCGACCAGCTGCTTTACCTGCACGACTACCGACACAGTACGTCTTCTAGCCTACGACCGACAAGTGATCGCGTGCTAACATGCTGTAGTCCCCTCCGGTATTACGCATTTGTTCCTCATTACCAACGTCGTCGCCATGACCGCCTGCTCTGTTCTCGTCATCATCCGCAAGTACTCCGACTACGCCGTCGCCGGTCTCATGGCCGTCGTCGTCACCCAGGCCCTCGGATACGGCCTGATCTTTGACCTCAACTTCTTCCTGCGCAACCTGTCCGTCATTGGTGGCCTGCTCATGGTTCTTTCCGACTCATGGGTTCGCAAGACCAAGGCATTTGCCGGCCTGCCCACCCTTGACGAGAAGGACCGCAAGATGTACTTCCAGCTTGCTGGCCGTGTCCTGTTGATCTTCCTCTTTGTTGGCTTCATCTTCAGCGGCTCCTGGTCCGTCTGGCGCATCATCACCTCCCTGATTGGCTTTGTTGCTTGCGTCATGGTTGTCGTCGGATTCAAGGCCAAGTTCAGCGCCACCCTCCTGGTCCTGATTCTCAGCATCTTCAACATCCTCGTCAACAACTTCTGGACTGTAGGTTATGCTCTGCCCCACCCGCTGTTCTCCGTGCTAATGTGTTCCTAGCTCCACGAGCACCACCCCCACAAGGACTTCGCCAAGTACGACTTCTTCCAGATCCTCTCTATTGTCGGCGGTCTCCTGCTGCTCGTCAACAGCGGCCCCGGCCAGTTCTCCATTGACGAGAAGAAGAAGGTTTACTAGAGAAAAAAAACACCAAAGCCCGGCTTCGGACGGGCAGAAGGAGTTTGGAGAAGAACGCGACCAGCAACAATTTGCTGGTTTCTTGGCATTACGAACGGCATTCAAAAGGTTGCACTTCCCGCACTGCGATTACGGTTGGCGGGGTTACGGGATCACATCGTGGCATATATGGATTGTAGACAGGAGCACAATAGTTGATACGGAAAGCTGCGTGCTTGAAATGGAAGATATATTCATGTTCAAAGTGGTGTTGAATTGCTGTTTCGAGGACTAGTTACTTCCGTGCCACTGCAGTT